ATTTCCCTTTTCTGGTTACTGTTCGCATGTCAGGTTGGCGTCACCGTCCTCCTGCTTATCTCGGTCATCCTAACTGCTCCTTGGTCTCACTTTTGCCAATACCATTAAACTGACTCTTTGTATCTCCCACCAGTTACCAACCGTTCTGGATTTTGTTTGTATTTTGAACCCCTTTCGTTTCATGCTTTATACTTTTCTGTTTTGATTCTTTTGCAGTTCGGCTCTGCATCCTCATCTGTTCCCTGGGGGAGTCATGGATGTTTTGAAAGGCACTTTAAAAGGAACATTTATCTATCATTAATGGTGGAGCCGGGTGTTTCACGAATGGAGTTTAGGTGTGTGCTGTTGTCTAAAGTACAAAATCAGGAGCCCCCCCCCCGGGATGTGGCACTGTGACCTGTTCCTTTATAGTCCAGTCTCGTAATTCTGAGTGGTTTTGATAGTAGAAAACTCTCCTGTTTAAAATGGCAATGACAGCAGTCCTTGATGAAGAAGAATTATATAGAAGATGGGAGTTGATGAGGTTGAAGTGGGAAATTATTTGTGTTCACTTACTCCAGAAGAAGCGAGACACATACGAGTTCATGCAAAACTACTCAATTAGCATGAAGGGAGTGACATTTTCATTATGATCGCACAGCTGAGTAAACTGTGATGTTTCCATCACTGGTAATTAGACAGATATTTGGGAAGGAGGGGTGTCTGTTAAAGTAAACAGAGATTCATCTGTGGAACACGGACTGAACGTCAGTTGTGATCCATTCAGTTGAGGACATCTGGTTCTGGAATATGTGGATATGGTATTCTGAAAGATCTGTCTTAATCAGATCAGAGAAAAACACAATAGACGATATATATAGAGAGAGATACATATTGTGAGTAATCTATAAATCTTTTAATTTATTTTTTTTTCGTTTCAAGTAACTGAATGCTACATAGATCTTACAGCAACCTGAATAGATTAAACAGACAAATAAGCAAAAGGCAAAGTTAATTTAACATGATAATCTTAAGCAGAGACATTATTTCCCCTGGCTGTTGTCAGCACCCTTCAGACAGGAGGATTTTGACGCTATTTCGTGAAATCTAATCTTTATAATTTAATTTCACGTTATCCTATCCTTAGAACTTGATGCCTTCCCATGTGTAGCTGTTTTTATGAAGAATGCACACATGCCTTTATAAACAGCTTCAGCGAGGGTTTCAACCAGAATCCCCTATCAAATTAAACTAATACTGTCCCCAGCATGTTTGTTCAGCACTTTGTTTTACATATATCCATTTAATGAGTTAAACTAAATTGGAATATTTTATTTAGTGAATAGGCTTTTAAAATAAATTAGCCACAATCTTTATAAGGGCTACAGGACAAAAAGAGCTAAAAGAAATGTTTTCTTAGAGCATTGACTCTGCAGTATCATTACATGTGTTAGTCGAAATAGTGTTATTGGTAAATGTGCAGAAAAAAAAAAAATCTTAATTTCCTACTTGGTTAATTAATGAAAAGCTTCCAGAAGCAACTGATCTCTAGACAGGTCATTTAAAACAGGTTTTATGTTTGATGCAGAAAATGGTTCTGTGCTTCAAGCCATTAGCAGTGTAAGGAGATCCCAGGTGTATGATTTTACTGGGTGACAGAGGGAGAGTAAATTGGGGTAATCAACCAGAATGAGGGTCACTCTAAATATCCGTAAGCCTGGATGGGGCTGCTTGTGGATGTCCTGGGGCAAGACGGAGTCAAGTAATCAGCACGTTCATTTTCTCCACCTGTGCCTTATCATCCGTCCTGTAAGACTGAGTTCTGCTGTGGCCCTAGAAAATGTACCCAGAGAGTACTGGATAGGCAAGTGCCCCATTGTGTCCTAGAAAATGTACCCAGAGAGTACTGGATAGGCAAGTGGCCCATTGTAGTCCTAGAAAATGTACCCAGAGAGTACTGGATAGGCGAATGCCCCATTGTAGTCCTAGAAAATGTACCCAGAGAGTACTGGATAGGCGAGTGCCCCATTGTAGTCCTAGAAAATGTACCCAGAACCTAGCCCTTCCCAAGATACAGCATTCGTTTTCATGTCACGTGTGTGTGGTTTTCCTGATCACTTTATTTAAACAAATCACAACTGTGAGATTCCCATTCCTTTCCTGTTTTGCCATACCACCTGAAACAAGGACAGAATCACTAAAATCAAAATTTGCATGCTCCCGCAATGCTTGACGTATACTTTATTTTTGGTCTGTCACGTGTGCTAAATTCTCCAGATGGCAGATGTGGTCTGACTCTTCCTTCCTTCCACACTTTACTCGAATCACTGATTCTGAATTGCCTCTTATTTATAAAGGTTTTGTTTTGCTGCTTAGTGTTTACAGATAAAGTCAAATGACACTTCAAAAAACACACAGACATTCTAATCTGAAAACGACACCATGTGTGCCAATGAATAGGCACAGACCGTGTATGTTCCGGGGCACAATTTGGCAAGGATGTTGAAAGGGGTTTAGTGACCAGCTGACCTGGAGTTAAATTTTATTGTTTGGCAGAAACTGCCTTATTTTTTCACCAGACATGTGCCTGCTTTGAAGAATCATTGTGATTATTTTCCCATCCTTCAAAGTTGTATAAATAGACATAAGGAAAAATACGGCCAAAAATATGTATGCACTTATAGTTTACATGAAAATTGATTTTTAAATGAATTTTAGTCTAACATAGTATACAGTCATAACATTATCTTTGATTTTAGGGTAATTCCCTCAAAATTGTCTAATCTGTGCTTCAGATAATGACAGCATTTGTAGAAATTGCCTGCAAAAGGTTTTTTGTTTTGTTTAAAGGTCTTGTTTCGGCCATCTTGTCTCGACAGAGATTCACTGTTGTCGAAGAGCAGACGCTTTGTCATTTTGCTGTCATTTGCTGCATAAGCTGTCATGCAAAAATTATTTTGTGAATATGGAGTGCAGAGAGGGTTAGGGTTGGTGAATCTGTGTGATTTTTTTTTTCGTTAGTGGTTTACAGGGGGGAATTAATCATCGATTTGAGTGATATCCTTTCTCTTTTTTTCCCCCCTCATCCGAACAACTGATCGTTATCTGAGCCGCAACAAAAGAAGATGGATTGTGGCAGGAGTGCGCCGAGCGTGTCGGGCTGGAAGGATGCTGCCTCTGCTCCTGACAATAGTAGCATTCCCACCCTCGTTCAGCGCACAGAAAGGCAGCGGAAGCCGGCGATGTAGACATTTTGTTTTATTAACATCGCTCCTCTGCCCGTTCCGTCAGCTGAGGACAGAAGCCTCCTAGTGGCTCATATAAATATGAAATAAATATGTGCATTTTATAGGACTCCTCTGGTCAAATGCCACCGGAGGCTTTACAGCTAATCATAACCCATGCAGATCATCTGGAAATTTATTGACAAAAAAAACTTAAAAAAAAAAAACATTCTTGATTTTCTTGATTGATCCTGTGTTGTTGAGCTGGACCTGGACCTCGTCTCCGAGTGTAATTATTTCCTCAGTGCTGTGTGTGAAATTGCATACGAGACCACACTATAGCGGGAGACGAGCGGCAGTAGGATGTTGGAGGCTTGTTGCCATGACGACGGAAGAGGGACAGCTCTCAGAACGCTCGCGGCGGCGACAGAGGAAGCTGGCTTGCTATAGACCCCACTGTGCAGAGCTGAGGCCGGGACGAGCATCGACGTGCGCTCCGTGGCGATCGTCAAGGGATTCACGCGGAAGGGACCTGAAGCGGGATTTACGGTCCTCCTTTTCTCCTCGGGCTCTCGTTTTTAAATGGTATGTGTTTGTTTTTGCTTTCCATTTTAAGATCTAGAATTTAGGCTTTTCTCCAGCACATTTAAAGGGAAGGAAATGGCCTCATATTATGCAGCGCCGCATGTAAACATTCTTTCTCACGCACATGCACAGGCACACGCGCACGTATATACACACACACACACACACACACACATGCACGTACTCACACACACATAGGCTTTCTTTCATGTAGGCACTTTTATTAAAATTGCTCCGTCGACGTCGCGCATCGGGTCGCCAAGAGCCAGCTGTTGGCCGCCTTTCCGGACGCGATGCGGTCAAAGCTGTCGCCGTAATGGAAATTCATGGATGTAACTATGGTAAATGGAGTCCCCCCCCCACCCCCACCCCATCCCCCCTCCTCCTGTGCTGAATGCATTAGCCTAATGAGAGCTGCAGGAAGCCGGGGAGGGGGTTGGGTTTAGAGTCACGGGCCTGGTGGGGGTGGGGGGGGGTTTCAGGGTTGGCTAACGGGAGACCATGCTTGGGTTTGGGAGAGCCCCCCCCGAGTGCAGGCATCAGAAGGGGAAGGCGAAGGTCTGCTGTGGCGGCGCGGCGCGGCGGTAAGGAGCCCGAGACGAGCCCTCACTCAGCCCCCTGCTGGGGGGTGGGGGGGGTGGGGTTGCCTTTACACACCAGCTTGGACAGTGACAGCGGTGGGGGGTGGTCAGATTTTGGCAGGTGGCTTCTATATTTAGAGATTTTAGTCTGGCTAAGGGGGTCGCCTTTGGTGGGTTAGTCTGCAAACCTCTTTTTGTGACTCTGGGATGCCTCTATGCTCTGTGCCACATCACTGTATCGGCTGCTTTCAGACTGATTCACGGTGAAACGTGCGGTTTTGCCGAAACGTGGTTATGGCATGATTAGGGTTTGTGTTTCTGTGTGTGTTTCTGTGTGTTTCGGACGGCGTCCTCTCACCCCTGCCTGCTTGGTCCTTGTTTTGGTGTCTCTCTCGGCATTTTCTTTGAAGCTCTCTGCAGACCTGAATGCTGCCGTTTCTCCCCCCAGTAAGGCTGTGAAACGCATGGGGGGGCGGTACGTCGATGCAGCCGCTTCCCTGGCTGCCGCTGGATGTTTGTCACTCTCCTGCCTCAACCCATAGGGCCTGCGTTTTGATGTCAGCCCCCCCGTCCCTCCCCCCGCGCTCCGGGTTCACTTACGCAGGTGTCCCGCCCCTGCCTCTCTCTCCAGGTTCGATGAGCATTCCCGCAGCCTCCGTGCAGAAAGCTGACGGCGGTGACATGCAGGAGCCGGTGGTGGGTCCCTCCTTCATCCCCGGCCAGAGGGGGAAGATACCAGGCAGGAAGCGGGGGAGGCCCCCCCTACGCAATGTCCCCAAAATGGATTTTCCCAACCGGTACACAGAGTCGCTGTCACCCCTAAAAGTGCCGAAGAAGAGGGGACGCAAGCCCGGATTTAAGGTCAGTGTGAGGCTGGGGGGGCTTATGACCGGGGGCACTGGGGGGGCTGGAGTGTTGTGTTTCCCCTGGGCTGGCGGCAGGCAGACACCGATCGCAGTGTTGTTTATTTTTCTTTTTTTATGACATCATCGTATTTAGAATCTCCATTCCTGTTTACGTCGTTGGGCACATTTATCATTGAATCATTCGCAGTGTGTGTTTGTGTTTCTCCAGCCAAAGGCCATTTAGACGACATTAATCGATGGTCCGATATGCAGGGAAACACTTGGCCTGCTGATGTAGAGGATACTCTTTATGAAACCCAGTAAAACTGGGTACAATTACAACCCCCTAGTAACCTAGGCAGGGTGGAAGCGCCATAGCAACTGCTACCTGGAAACCACTGTCAGTTTCCCAGCGCTTGGTTCCTGAGAAACCCTGACAGTATGGTGTTGTGTGGTACCTGTAGATACAAGGCGAATTGAAATAGTTTTGGTAGTTTTGGTCTGCCGCATTTTTATACTATATATTAAAATTGATTCCTTTGGTTGACCAAACTTGGTAATGTTATTCATAAACAGCACGCACACCTTAGGATTCTGGATTGCACTCCTTTGTCTGTGGTGGTCTGTATCGCCCTGAACGGGCATTTTTAGGCACGCAGACGGCAGTGCGTGCACTTTCTCTGTGTTTATTCATTTCCCTCTTCGAGTTAATTGGTGGGGCACACAGAAACGAAAGCTCTTTTCTCCACACCGTCGTCTGGCAGCTCATTACTCGCAGCAAAAGGTTGACACATCCTGAAACAGTGCGGGTTCATCGTCACCCCCCCCCAACCCCCACCCTGGCGGTCGACCAAAAGGAAGCAGGCGGGGTGCGCTGGAGCGGAAAGGCGCTGGAGCGGAAAGGCGCTGAGGGCACGCGACCATCGTGTGCCTTCCAGTTTTGCTTTTACTTTGCCGTCGATCTGCAGCCGGGGAGGGATGTCTGTGCCGGCTACCCCCCCCCCCCCCCCCCCCCCCAGCTGTTAGAGAGCGGCTTCTCCTGGTCCACACAAGCTCGTGCCGTTTCTGACAAAAGTCAAGAATGGCTGCTAGCTTTTTTCCATTT